AAAAAAAAAAAAAAAAAAAAAAAAAAAGGGAAAAAAAAATTATTTCCTAAAAAATCATTTTTTTAATCAAAGTTTAGTGTTCGTTTAACTTTGTTTTACATAAAAATTGTCCATTAAAATGAATTTTTTTTTTAACAATTAGTGATGAAATTTGTTTTTATTACAAAAAAAAAAAAAAATGAAAAAATGAAACGTGAACTTGGAAAATCATTTCCCACCACCCAAAATCAAGGCAAACTAGCGCTTGAGCCAGCTACCATGAAAACAAAAGCCTGGGAAAATATGGCACAACAAACAAGCCAAAATCAAGGAAAATCAATTCTTTTTCCAAGTTCCAAGGAAAATGCTGGTTTTCAAACAGGGCCTAGATTCATTTGTATCAAATGCCATCAAAAAATTTAAATTCTTCTTCTTCTTCGAGTCATCCTCCTCCCTTTAATGTAGTCGAGTCACTGCTCTCTCTTGTAGTCTAATCGTCACCCTCTGATGTGTGTCGGGTCATTCCTTTCCTTTTTTCTTTCTTTTTCTTAGAAGAAGTATAAAAATTTCTCCTACGATGACTACATGAAGAATTTGCAAAAGTTATTTTAGGAAATTGAGCACTTGAATTGCCAAAAACACTCTTTATAATTAATTTTATATTCCTTTCTTGTAAAGTATTTTTGGACGTAAAATATCGATAAGAGCTACCTTGCTACAAAATGTAAGATTTGTAGATCCATTTATATTGAGTAATTCAAGTTCTTTTTGTAAAGTATATGATTTTTCTTTCTTTGTCGTATTAAACATAATAAAATATATTATACAAATATATTTTTCACTTTTTTAAGTTGATATTTTTTTGTGTTTTTGTGAATAAATATATGACAATCATTCCTAGAACAACTCTCTATTGTGACTTTCCGTCAACCGCCTTTTTAGAAGTTGTGTATAACTATTCAAATACTTTAAAAAAACCTCATTCAATAGTGTAATTGATACTTAAAGCAAATGGTGTACTTTCTCATTTCTTGATCGATCTTTCTCTACCAAATAGAAGGGGAACTTTCCTTTACTCTAACGTGATCATCATTTCACAAATGTCATGTTTCAAAATTGTTTCGCGGTCCATCCACCAAGAGTAATCGAATCATAGTTGACGATGGAAGCACAAAATTGTCATGCATATAGCTCGATGAAGACAACAAATGAATTATTTACAAATCAACAAAAAGTACATACGAAACATGTAAGTTCGTCGACGAGTTTCTAAATTATATGATGCCTAATTCAAAACTACAACCAACCAAGTTCATAAACACTCTTAATGAATAGATTGAAGAAATAAAAAAGGTCATTTTGAAATTCATGTCCATTAAGGAGAGTGTATTGACAATACAAACATAATTGTCTTTTTTATTTTTTATTTATTTTTAAAAAGAAATCTTTTAAAATGTTCAAATAGAACCTAATAAAGTCAAACTTTTCGACTCCATTTACAACATAGGCTAAATATATGGACCGACGTTGCAATTTTTCCAAAATAAATTTGCAGCACCGGGCAGAACGTACGAAAGGGCGATTCAATTCAGTAATTTCCCAACAACTCGCAAAACCCAGCAAGAATCCAATGTCGACTCCATCTAGGTTTTTCCGAGGAGGCCGAGCTTTGTTTTACGCCTCCAAATCCGCCGCCGCTGCCGCTCCCAATCCCGCCGTTGCCACCTCCAAGAAAAATCCCACCACCAGTACTGCCGCCGCATCTTCAAAGGCAAAGAAGAAGCCGGCGCCGTCTCCTACTGCTGGGATTCTGAAGTCAACACCGGTGTCTCCAGCACTCCAAAGCTTAGTTGGTGCCCCGGAAATCTCTCGTGCAGGTGCTGTTAAGAAAGTCTGGGAATATATCAAGCTCCACAATCTCCAGGTATTTGTTTTCCTCTTCCCCTTCTTTCTTTTTTAGCATTTCTTCTGTTTTTCCGTCTGTCTAGTTGTATTTTTAAGCATGCTAGTAAGAAAAGGAAAAGAACTCTAACTATCGCTCTTCGCTTCCCCATGAAAGTGTGATTTGGGTTTTTTTCTCGATTCATCGATTGTATTTAAGAGTTCAAGTTGGGTTGTTCTTGGTTAAGTCTCTGTTTATGTTCTTTGTTTTATTTTTTTTTCCTTTTCTGATTGTTGGAAATTAGGTTTTAGCCAAAAGTCAGAAAAGAAAGAAAGAAGAAAATTATCGGAAAGCCCTGATCTAGTATTGTTAGTGGTGATGGGTTTTCTATAAAAAATAAGGCAAAAAAGAAAATGAAAAAAGAAAGCATAGCTGGGACTGCTATGAAATTTCATTTGTGTACTCCACTAGCATGTGCTGAGTATATTAGAGGTTTATTTTTGGATTATGCTATTTGTACATAGAAATGGTATTGTGTTTTAAACTCGCAAATGGTAGAATGTCACGTGGCATTGTGTAATTTCTTATATAAACCTTTATGTACGGCCTTTATTTTTTGTTTGTTTCAGCTTTTGATACTTCTTTTGAATTTCTAATTTCATTTGAGGTAAAGAGGCTTAAGTAAAGAACACACAAACCGGCCATTGTGCTAGAGAAAATAAGATGGTAGCAGAATTGGGTGAAAACAGTAGGAAGAACCTTAGCAATTTTTTTTTAAAAAAAGGCATTTACCTCACAAATGTGTGATCTGAATTGAAAATGTAGCCGGAAATGTTATATTAACATCGACATCCTTCCCCTTATGGCATTTAAACAAAATGATTGTTTCATGTTTCTTTTATCTTCTTCTCATCTTGTTATTTCCGAGATTCCCTCAGAAAGTTATGATTTATAGTTTCTATTCTAAATGGTTACTTGATTGAATCTTGATTCAAGGAGAAGGGAAAAAAAAAATTGGATAGAAAATGGTTTTACGCCTGTTATGTAGAAATTCAACCAAACATGCTTAATTCACTGCCATATGTAAGTTTCATTTAAATTCTTTTGCATTTTTTTAACACTTAAAAAAAGTAGAGTTAATGTTGCAAATATGGGCTGAGATAACATTTCTAAGAACTAAAACTGTTGACTATAACCTACTTGGGAATATGGTTGATCTTGGAAAAGAAGAACTAAAATAGAATTATATTATTCTTCTATTTCTTTTATCCATTTTGTCCTGTTGGGATGACACTAGTGTCTTAATGAAACCCTGTCCGGAGCAAAACCTTGTTTTTTTAAACTAGAATCTGGACATTTTCTGGTAAGAATCCATGCAAGTTGCTTCGTCCTACTAAATTGCACCAAATTCCTTCAGGAGGTTGAACTTATAAACTGGAGAATCAACAATCGTCAAACTTTGACCTGCTTAACCTTTGATGCTGGTGGGACTTTTCTACTTGCAAAGATAAGATATATTTATCTAAAGCTTTCTGAATTTTTACGTCTACTAATATTTAATGGGTTTGAGGGACCTTCAAAAATGTGTTATCTCAGCAAATATTAGTATTCCTAGTGGGTCCTAATGGCAGCGAGCATGCCCTAGAAATTGAAGATTTAATTAATGAGATGCTGTGGAAATGAAGATTATTAGCTAAGTTTACGAAGATGTTATATATAGCGTGTACAGAGGTTTCCTTTGTAGCTCATAGCCGTACGTGAATTGAATTATATCAAGAATTGTAATTTGGATCCAAGGAATGTTTATGAGGGCATTACGCATCAGCCAAATCGGCTGGTGAGCAATTTTACTTTTGTGATTCCATAGAAATTCTTGTAAATTATGTATTGGGGAACTATATGGTTTACTTTAACTTGGTTGCACTTAGAGGCCCTTTTACTTTATATATTCTATGGGTTTCAGTGTCCTGACATTACTTGCTTTCGCTAGCCTAATTAACCTCTTCTGTATTGCCCTCTTTATAGAAATTCAATATCATCTCTTGCTATTAATCAATTAATCTATATGCGTTTGCACATTACACTTCAGATACACTGAAATTGATGCTTCATATGTGATACTGCCATACATAGGCAGTGTTACTTCTGGAAGGATCATTTTTATACGCAAGGGAAAGAGAGTAGCATAATGTTAGCAATACTAAGAAAAAACCACTTTTGAAGTAATGCAATATTTATTAGCTTATAATAGCTTATGTCCTTATGTGTGCACAGATGTGTAAATTTGTATATGCTGAGGTTATCGTCCCCACTCCGTATCCTCGACATTTTCTCAAAGCTTTTAGGATTATTAACTTCAATTCAACTATGCATTTCTGATATTCATCATACTCTCGATGCTCTACAAAATGTCATTTTAGACTAGCCATGACAAATTAAAGTACATTTTGTGTTGATATATCATTAAGCCACACTTAACACATATTGTCCTAATGCACTTTTATATACTCTCCCTATATACATGTTCTGTTGATGTCAACTTATTAACTGTCTTCTTTGGTGTACTTGTACAAGTTTATGAATGTTGTTGCCTGCAGAACCCCAATAACAAGAAAGAGATCTATTGTGACGACAAGCTGAAATCACTATTTGAAGGAAAGGATATAGTGGGGTTTCTGGAAATTGGAAAGTTGCTGTCGAATCATTTTGTGAAGACTAAGTAACTTCTTATTGCTGGTGTGGGATTTCTGTGCAGTTCTGTATTAGGGAAGTACTGAACCTTTTAACACTTTTTTACATGTTACTTGTAACTTGTTAGCTCATTCTGAAGCACTCTTTGGATCAGTAATGTTTCTAATTGGATGTCTTCTGGAAGTTTAGGACAATGTATTGATGTGCTTTTATGTGTTTCTTGTTTTGTTTCGTGCACATAACTACCTGAAGGCTTTGGCTGTGTTTATTTGTTTGGGTAAAAATACATTGGCAGTCACTTTTTAGTGAAATTTAATGTTCCTCTCTGAACATCACCTTGTTTCGAATTGGTCACTGGATTGAAACTGTGTCAAGACGTGGTTACTTCATCAATTTTCTGTTAGTTTGACTAATGGAAAATTTGATTTGGCACTACAAATATTTGCTAACTAGACTGCCACGCTAGCTCATTTGCTAGTCAAACCGACAAATGGGGACGAAAAGGCCGAATCGAGACATAGATTAACTTGGCAAACAACTTGACACACCATTAAAGTTCAAAGACCATTTTCTGGATGGCAAGGAACATCCAGAATGCTAGAAGGATGACACTCCTCATTAATTTTGTTCACTGTGGTAAAATTCAGTCTACCAAGCACGTCGAGTTGGAAATATTAACAATCAATATTATCAACTATAACTGCAGAGTCAACGTCGACGATCATTGACACACATTTACGCACAGATTAACCACCCTTAAACCAGTAGAACCCAGACCATGATAAACGTGAGCTTGACCTCCTATTTTAGCCTCCGTACATTAACCACCCAAAAAAAAAGAGACAAAAGCAGGAAGAAACAAGGTGTTTAATTCTCACTCCAGAACCAGATCAGAAATCAATTCCTTGAAGCTGCTACCTTTACATACGAATAGAACTCTTAATTTTAACTAGTCGGTCTCAGTTCTACTCCAAAAGTCCAAAACCGGTACCCCCCACACAGCAACGATTCCAATTCAAAGCAACCCACACAAACAATTTCACTTTAAACAGCCTCAAATCTTTCAAATTCCAAAAATAAATATGTAATTAATATAGAATCTAAATACTGTTGGAAAGTTGGCTTAATATGGTTATTTTTGGCATAATTTTGAGCGGACCTGTTCGTTCATTTTGGAAAATTGAAGTTGGTTTGTGTTCTTCTCATTGAGAACATCGAAATCATATATTTACTTGCCAAAAATTATAATCCGGTGAATGATAAATTGAAACTCAAAGTGATAAATAAAATATGTTTTGTTGTGCTGGAGTAAAACTAATTCAAGTTGTCCCTCATAAAAAAAAAATGATAAAGATCATGACCACGTTATATATGATTCCACGGATAGTTATGGAAAGGAAGATTAGATCGAGTTTTTGTACTTTGTCGTATAATTGTGAACTTAGGTAATGTGTGTTAAGATATTATTTGACTTTGACCCTTAAAAGATTAGAAAATTCCAATATTTTTCAAACATGAATACAAAGATAAAATTAGGAAAAAAAAAAAAAAAAGAGAGAGTACATGCGCTTTACCTTTTTTGTTCGATTTTTGTTCACAACCTCGAAAATTTAGCATAATTCGCCCTTTCATTTGGCTTCCATCCAAAAATCTGTCAAAATTAAATAATATGGCAGCCTTACTCTTTAACATAATAAACGGAAATATATAAAGGAACAAATAACAAATGCAAAAAATAAAAAAGGAAAAGGAAAAGAAGGAAAAAATACCAAAAAACAGGTTTTTTTTTTTGTTCCTTTATTTATTTTTGTTTATTTAAGTTAAGGGTATTATAGGGACGAATTTTACTAATTTTCCAAAGATTAGGGACAAAAACTCGCAAAAAAATGTCAACGTATTACTCTATTCAAACGTTGGGGATAAATAGTACAGTTTACGCTACATTTTGATAGAAATAGGACAAAAAATGCCCAATGTCACCTTTCAAACTTTTTTTCTTAGGAATTAACGAAAAATAACATAAAAAAAACTGTACACGCGAGTTGTGATAGGTCCACGAAAAACCCGTGTAGCTCATAATGTTTTTGGTCATATCATGTATTTATAGCACGTTTAATATTTTTAGATTCGGATATATTGGATACATTTAAAGAAATATGAAATATGAGAAAATTCTGGCTTATCAGAATTCCATACTAAGTATATTCATAACCATAGTTACTTTTAAAGAAACATCTCCATTAAGAGTTGCAACAAATAAGAATTAAACGTGAGTAAGCTCTTGACCCGAATTGTAATTTGATTGGATTTGACCCAACACAGACCCAGTAATATTTGGGCCGGATTTGATCAACCCAAACACTTTTGTAGCCCATTGCAAGCAACAACTACCCCAGTAAGCATGTCTACTTAATATTAAGGGAAATTATAAAAAATTAGGTGTTTAAAGAATGGTTTTTAAAAATCAGGTTTGTACATTTTTTATTCACTTTTCAGGTATTTTATTTTAAATATCAAACCATAAATATATCCAAAATCTAATTCATTTTCAACCCTAATTTTTCTCTCTCTCACGGCTGCCCCCC